CAGCCTAATAAATTCACGGTTGTATTGCAAACGCCTTCAGCATGGCTTGCTTTTTTGTACTTTTTAAGAGGTATACCTCGCGACTGTGAACATCATGCAAATGGACAAAAAAACAAAAGCTAATTGCAATTTGGCCGGCGTTAATATTGTTTTAGTCTTTCTGCATGCCCATCACACCTGCATCACTTAGATAACTCAGCTTTCCGGCTGCGATTGTCCACAGATGTTCATTATTTTGTAAATTTACAAAAAGTAAAATATGCGAGTTGCGCATGATGTCGAAGTGACTGATCACACCTCATTTCCTGTCTAGATGAGAAGCGCGTGGACCCGTAAACTGCTTTCGAACACTCGACAGGGCGACAGCCGACGCCCAAAATCCCTAATACCTGACTAGTTGGGGGAGGAGGGGGAGATACTGTTTGCACAGTCGTAGTCACAGTGGCTTCTTTCCACCTATTCGCTAATTAGAACAACGTATCATCCAATATCTCCGGTTTGGATACGGGCACGACGGTCCCAGAAGTGTTAGCTTTAAGAGCATTGCTAAGGGCCATTTTGGAGATGCATTTAGAAAACGGCAGACTAGATACCGTGAACAGTAAATAGGAAGAAACAAGCATGAGATCTGTAAAGAATTTCTACATCGTGGAACTACGACCTATCAGGCAAAATCACAGTATTTGAGTCCGGATCACCGTGCTCAGACATCAGTACAAAGCGCAGCTTATCGGCCAAGCCGCAGAAGTCACATTCTGCCTTCCCTGACCAAACTAGTTTTCTGATAGACATGACTTCGGTAAGGAAATCTTACCAGCAGTTAATTCGGAAAAAAACAAGGACGTTGTTTTTGTAAGAAAATAGTCAACGATATACAATAGAGTGGAAACAGGTTGAATAATATAATACAGTCATCCTCCCTTATCCATTGCTTGACCATGTACATCTGTTTGATTCCTTCCTCTAGGAAGGGGAGACTCCAGGTCCCCAACTGCAGCGACGTTTGTAAGTCCTGATAGCATCGATATATGCTCATGTTCGACGTCAAAGCGGAGCGAGAGATGCGAAATGCAGACTATTGACTTGTCGGAGAGTTGATACTTTTTGTCTAAAAAGAAAATCCGCGTTAGTGATAGACTGAAATGAAGGTGCGATCAATACAACGTACCCTTCAGCACCGGGGTCCCATCTACCAAAACGGGATGTTTGGAGAGATTGGTGAGCCAAAACACACCGTTATCGGCAAGACTGATTTTCCCATGACGTCGGGAAATACGGGACGCTTCACCTTCACGGGACAAGTCGATGTCTGGGGCGAAGTTGTGTACAGTTCGACCAAACGTTACCTAAATAAGAAAACGTTGAAGTACAAATAATTAATTCCAATTAACGAAACAAAATACAAGCCTGTTGCATTAGACACCCATTTACAAATAACGCATCACTGGAAGTCATACGATTGGCAGGATATCAGGCCTAATAAACGTTTTAAAGAAAAGGAAAGGGTAAGTTTCAGAGGTATGGGCTCACGTTCTTGCATTTGATGAGAAAGCGTGAACGTCTGCCTGTAAGGGTTGCGAGGGTGGGATAGATAGGCTGATGATCTGATATAATGATCCCATTGGCCACCTTAGACTCAACTAAGGCCGTCCAACGACGCGCCTCCTCTTCCACGCGCGCCATTTTCGCGTGTAAGCGCCTCCTCGCTCGATAGCGCTCCAGTTGGATCTATTACAAATAACGTTACGACTGCTACGTAATATAAGCCATTTCAGCGAGTACAGAAATATAAGACGAATAGAGGCAAAGAATTGCTGCAGGTATGCGCTGAGTTGACCGATAACAGCATGATATTATTTGGATGGGCTATAAGTAATCGCCTGGGAGAGGAGCTGATCCGTCAGTACTAATTTAGACTAGATGGCGTCAAAAGTAAGTCCAATTCTGTAAAATACCAGCCAGCAAGCACTACTAAGGACAGGTATGGAGTGAAAAACCGTGGAAAGCAGTAAAAAGAAGAGCCTTCGAAAGTATATTACATGTTAGTACTTGTGCGACTTATGTGATCAAGTCGGAGAGATTCTCTACTTGGCCGCTTCATGACATATACACCATTTGGGTTGAACGACGCTAAACTGCCTAATGCGTTAATTTACAGTTGTTTCAAACGACTGATGTGCCACCTGCAGAAAGCACGAATGAGAAGCCTCCTTAAACATGACGAAACCCCCAATTAATCAGCACCACGAGCTAATTCAGGCAAATATTACAAAATAACCCAAACACAAAGAAAAATAAAAGAGGTATCTCAAATTTGTAACTGACAGCAATTCTATTCGTACAGCAAAGGAGTTCCAGTAAAAGCAAGGCCACATGATAGTTCATGAAGATTCGGTCACGGTAAACAGAGAACAACTTAATAAAGTGCTAAGTAGTGGCGTATGCATTATGCAGTAAGTTAACACAAGCAATAAGTTTTTTCACAAAGACTGAATAGCACATCAGACGTTCTAGCAGGCATGAAAACAAGCTACCAAAAAGCGTAAGACAAATCAAGAAAAACACCAAACGCACCTCAGGTACCAATTCCTCCTGACCAGAATTGGAGAAGTCCGATTGCTCAACGCCAATGGATTCACTTCTAAAGCCAGCCCAACTAGGACTGCGAGGGAGAACCCGATTAGTCCCACTTGAAGAAGATGCGCAAAAAGAATGAGAGCGTCGGTATTTCACAAGCGAATCTGCCACCGCCTGACTGACACTGGCCTGAAACCCATGATATGTGACTGCTGATGCAAGCAAACGTTTCCGTCTAGCAATATTTGAGGATTCCATTAGGTGAGGCAGGCCCGCCTGCATCACTCGCGCTGTCGTCTCCTGAATAATAAATTCGGTGTCAGAAAAACTCTCAGGATCGCCACCAATATCCGAGCCTTTGTCCAAACCCTCCTCAGAAATCAAACGACAGCTACGTAAGCGATTCCATTGCGAATAAAGATGAGAAGGAGTTCTTGTGGAGTAGAACACTCGCGAATGATCATTCAAAAGTCTTTCAAAGACGAAATATTTGTCCAGATTCTCCTTATATACATCATTGTAGGAAATTGTCATAAGGAGAGCATCCTCTTCACCGGAAAAGGGGATCTGAGCATCAAGTCGACACTTTACAATTTGTGGAAGGTGAAATATAGCCTCTCGAGATGTTTTTGAAACCGCTGGATTAAAAAGAAGAAGGCGCCACCTCTGCTCAACCTCTGATTCTGTATACGACCTTGTGAAGCGAACGCAGGCACAAACCTCAGCCAAATTACAGGTCTAAAGATGAAAACATGCAGGTACGGACTAAAATGCAACCTTACTTACCACAAAGAGGGAGTGTATAAGTAAGTAGTCATCCTCTGGCCTCCACGGCGGATCTATTTGC